TAACATCTCTAAGCTATCTGAGGTCCATCAGAGAACATCTCAGACAGCTGCTAACCCTTCAGAGAGTGGACATATCAACAGATTCAGCTCAAGGTCAGTGTTTGAAGCTCAGAGAAATATCCATAAAACCAAGCGCTCCATTCTGACCCTACAGGCTTTAGTCAGCAAGTCAAAGGTCAAAGGTCATGACAATGAACCAGCTGTAAGGCACGACGGAGGAGAGATGGTGATTTGAGCTGAACTAAGTTAATCTCAGACCCCGCTATAAAGTTTTTGGCTGAGATGGCATCTATTCACAACTGCTCCCCATATTGTATTAACATATTAAAGCTTTAGTTTACTACCCTTGTTGTAACTTAGCTTCACATACTATCCGGGGTTTGTTTGGTTTGGTTTTGTTTAGTGTTTGGTTACAGTTTATTTCCAGTGGTTTTGTTTGCACTTTACCATGAGACTCTCCTTATAGATGTATAATAATGGGTTTAGAGATATTTATTTATCAGTGATTTATCACTATTTATAAGTCTTCATCAGTGGTTCAACACAGTATGGTATGCAAGCTTACAAATGCTTAAATGTCTGAAATGTTGAATTTCAGCAACGCTAGTTGAAATATACAATACAATTACAATTTGGAAACCAGTCGGTTTGGTCTTTTTTTCACTCTTAAATAATTAACTGTAAAGATTTATGTATAAGTCATTAAGTGATTTCAGATAAATCTATAACACATCTATATTATTTATTAGCCACTTCAAGAAAACCTTACTGTAAAGTGCTATTGAGGTTTTAAAATGAATACCACTTAATTAAATTAGTTGATTCTAATTCAAATTCAATTTAAAACAATAAAAAAAAAATTAAAGATAAATTTGATAATGTTTTTATAAATTAAACATCTTTGTTCGAATCCTCTTTCCAGGTAAATTGTGTTGCACTTCCTGTAGTTAGAGGTTCATGATGTCACTGGTTTAAATAACATCATACAGTAAAGTCCCATTCAGCAATGTAGATGTTGTCCCCAGCTGAGAAAGAGTCGGAAAGAGAGTTTATAAAAATGCCTCTGAGCAGGAAATGAGAATGTCTGTGAATAAAATTCGCCAAGAGGAAACTCTAAATGTCTGCTTTATGCTGTCTGTCTGCCTACATCCACTCATGTTCTGCAATACTTCACCCTCTCTGTATACCAAAGAAAACAAGGAGTCTCTCATCTTTCAAGCTAAGTCCAACATAGGTCATCAACAGAACAATGATCCCAAACACAGAGCCTGATCTATAACGGCGTGCTTGAAAAGAAGGAATCAAGATTAAGTAATGGTCCAGTCAAAGTTCAGACCTCAACCTGATGAAAAAGCTGTGGTTGGACCTTCAGAGAACTGAAAGAAATCATTACTTTGTACGTTAGGAAGATCAGATCCTGAGTCAGATTTAGCACAGATGAGGTTCAGTGTTTGCATCAGATACCTGAGAGAATAAACCCATTTAGAGCCATCGGAAGAGGAGGAGAAAACTGAGGTAATTATATTTGCTCTAATAACCGATTGTGGGATTAAATCTGGCTTTGGCCTACATCTCCAACAGAACCACAGAGTTTCTACAGCTTCTCCTCCTGCAAACACAGACCAACCCATCCTGACTGTTCCTTCCTCCTCCCTATGCATGACCCGGACCCACTGCATGTAAATCAGATGCACTCGGCTTACTTTACTTATTCAAATAGAGCCGGAAGATTATGTCAAAGAGAGGTGTTTAGTTCGATCACCTGCACCTCCCTGCTGGGTAAATACGAAGTCACACTTCATTCTGGTTTGTTCCCGGATGTTTACGGATACGAGTAGCGACTCATACCTGTCTGTGAGCTTCTTCCTCATCTGGCCTTTCTTCCACTTTAAAAGCTGTCTGACCCCTCTTTCCATCACAACACAGAAACTGATATCAAAGATCCATCCATTCAGGGTTTTTGTTGACTGGCTGCCAAAAGGAAGAGAACTCATAAAGGTTTTAAACATGAAAAGGAAATTCTCAAGAACCGTGTTTATAGGACTGAAGTTCTATTCCCTGGAAGGATTATTACTTTTAGTATCACTTCCAATTATAATAAAGCATTGTTTTTTTCTGGCACAGGCTAGTGATAGATGATGCCTAAAATGAAAGGAAAGTCTGTTACCTTCCCAGACTACTTACAGTTCAACAATATTTTAATACATTTGTTAAAATTCAAATACAAACAGAAACATCCTAGAAAGAAGGATAGGGTGCGAAAGACTTGAGAGGTCCACCAGGTTAGGGTTTAGATCTCCAGAGCAACCATAACCAGCGTGTACTGTTTTTTTTTTCTTTTTTTTTTTTTTTTTAAGTGGGATAAAGTTCTTTAGATCATATGAAGAGTTGTATCTTTCCAGGTTTGAGAGGAAAACCAAAATAAAACGATAACATTTTTAGAGAACATTTTTCTATTGTTCCTATTCGGCAATGTTGTTAAAAAGAAACACAAACTGTCAAACAAGCAACAGGCAAGACGCACACAGACATCAAATGGCCAAACAAAACAAAAAGTAAAATAAAACTAAAATGTTTCCTCAGGAAATACAGAAATCACTTTGAGATTATGGTTTTTCCATCAACTAATTAACAGACAGATGTTTGAAATAAACAGAAATAACTTCTACATGTTAATGCATGAAAAGATATAAAATGTGCACCAACCCAGGCTGATGAGAATATGTG